CCTTTCCTACAATAAACTGGCTAAAGAGTTTCCATTAAGCCCTTTAGTGTTATGAGAAGACATCTGGAAGAAAAGGAGCAGCAATATGGAGTGCCTGAATGTTTATTCCAGTCCGCTTAAAGCTTAGTGTACAGGTAAGGTGGTTAAAGCTTTCCTCACTGTTCCTTTTGGGGCTGGGTGGTAATCTTCTGGTGTCCAACTTTAGACAAGCACAAATTTATCCCTGTAAACCTAATTTCAGAAAGCAAAAGTCAATGATACTACAAATATCACATAAAAATGAGTGTAGAAGTGGCGTAACACTGTCTGATACTTGTCAATGGTGAGATAAGCAAACCTTTTTGGGCTGGGGAGATAGCTCAGCAGCATAAGTGCTGCCTGGCAAGTGCAAGATCCTGAGTTTGATCCCCAGTAAAACACACACACACACACACACACACACACACACACACACACACACACAAAAACAAAACAAAACAAAAAAAAACCAAAAAACTTTTTCAAGGGCTGGGGAAATAGCTCAGTGGTATAAGCACCTGCCTGCCAAGCACAAGAGCCCAAGTTCAATCCCCGGTACCACACAAGAAACCCCAGAAAATTGAAACCTTTTCAATGTCACGCTTCTAGATAACTATCATTCTTCTTGCCACTAACTGGGACTAAAGAGAGATGTGAGGTTTTCAAGGACTCTTAGTCACCTGACCAATAACATTAGACAGAGTAATCAATGCTTGGAATATCTTCACAAAGCATCTTTATTTAATTCTCTAATTCTACAAAACATACTCTGTGGGAAATTTATCTCTATTTAAAATTTGAAATAAGAATAACCCATACAGTTCTAATACTCTTTTTGGCCTTCTCCGGCAAGAGAAGATCTCAGACACTTTAATTATTAGTGCATCTAATATTATGTCATAATCACAACTTAGGACTTGGTTACAGTCAAGTATAATTATTCCCCCACTGAGAAGTCATGTATGGCTGGCTGCAAAGCTTAGGGAGAAAAAGGTGTTTCTCTCCTTGTTCCTGGCAGCTTCTGATCCTTCCAGGGTTGGGATGAGAGGACAGAGAGAGGGAGGAGGATAGGAATGCTCTCATTTGAATGCGGAAGCAGTAAGCTGTCTACAAGCTTTTTCTGGTCTTGCTAAGTATTTAAAGCAAACCACATATTTCAAAGGCTGGTGTGGGTTCTCGGGAGCCTACAGCTGTTAGTGGTGCCTCACCTGCCATTCTCTTTAGGCCAATGTACTTTGCAACACAGTAGTCTTCTTGGTGTAAGGGAACTCAGTGCTCCTCTTTCCTGAGACCTGGCTATATCCACAGTGCCTCTTGGCCCTCATCTGCAGAAATTAATAAAACCATACACATTTTTTCACCTGCACAAATAGGACCAACAGCAGCTGCTTTCATTATAGTGAAGACACTTGCTGATCAAGGACAAAGTTAGAGCACTGTGTTATTCCTAACCAGAAACAGAATCTAGCTTTCTAATGAGTCTAGCACTAGTCTTGATACCAGGTGGCTCCCAATCTTTCAGTTTGCTGGGAACTAAGTGAGACCACACCTTTCTTTTCTTAAAAAAAAGTTTAAAATTTTCTCAGCAGCTTCCCCCAATTGCCAATACTCTTGAAGGTGACTCGTAGCTTTTGGAATGCAGTACCATTTTTTCTTGGTGCCTTAACCAATGACTTAGTTTCAAAATATTTTAACTATATCATGAAATTTTTGTTTGAAAAAATTTGTCATAACTTTATTGTTTGGATGAAGCACTTATTTCTTTTCTACATTTCCCAGACACCACCACCACATGGCTACACTCAGGGAAGGAGTGTGCTAAAAGAACAAACTTCCAAACTTTCTGACCAGCCCCACTCTTTGGAATGGACTCTCTTCCCTGGGCAGACACTGGGGGACTCTTAGAAATTCCCCACTCATACTTCCTAGAGAAAGATGGGACCCAGGACACCCACATATGCTATAACTTGTGTCTTGATGTATCCCCAAAGCCTCATGTGGTTATAGGTGGGGCTATTCAGAGGTGGCTGGATCCAGAGTATATGATGCTAAAATTAAGGGTATGTGATTACTAGATTAGTCCACTAATTGTTTTGGCATAGTTCCAGGTATGGGTAATGGGAAAGCCTAGCCTGGGTGCTAGTGTTACCTGTCCTAAGGGTATATATAGCCTGGATAGACTATAAGGGCCAGAAAGAGGACTGCTGGCCTCACTTGCTGCTGCTTTGCTACTTCACTATTTGTTGGCTTCTGCCCATCATGAATTGTTTCTCCTCTGTGATGTCCCTCTGCTATGCCAACCTGCCTTGACGCCAGCCAACTTTGAACTGAAACCTCTACAAACTGGGAGTTACGATAAGCTTTTCCTCCTTTAATTTTGTGTGTTGGGTACTTTGTCTCAGCAATGTGACAAAGTAGCTAAGATGCAAATGAATAGGGACCTTGTCCAAGGCATTCCTTATTGCAGGGTGAATGTCCTGCAGGGCTATGTGAAGGGAGTGCAGAGCTCAGAGGCTAAAGGACAGACAGAAGGATTGCAATACATAGAACACAGTGATTAGACACCCATGAAGAATCCAGAGCTGGCAAGATTGACTCTGGAAAAAAGCATGGAGCAAGGGAGGCCACTGCAGCCGGGAAGAGCATGTTAGCTGAGGCTTTTAGAATGTGGAGTCTAGCCCATCTTGCCAGCAGCTGCTTGTCTTCCTGTCTGTGCTGTGGCCTTCCACACCCTCCCAGTTCAGACATGCTTTTCCTCAGGGTGGAATGCTCTCCTTAGAACCCACCCCTGCCACTGCTGCTGTTCAGCCATCAAGTCTTAGCTTAAATCTAATGGCATGTGAAGCTTTCTTGCTCTTCTCCCTATCCAGACGCTATGCTATTTCCCACTTCGCAGCTCAAGCCCTCAATGTACTTTTGCTTCTCCTCGTTCCACAAGAGACAGTGATTGTCTCAAAGTCACCAGCTGTGACTTAGTCATTTTTGCACTCGCACCACTTAGCACTGTTTCAGTGTTGTAAGAAGTTGCATTAGGTTTCTGCTGCTGTGTAACTAATTAACACACTTCTCAAAAATCGCACCTTTATCTTACACTTTCTATGAATCAGAAGTCTAAATGTGATAAAAAATGTGGTGAATGTTTAAATTTTAAAAATGTATTAAATTAAAAATCATTGCCATTTACCCTACTGCCTCACCTCAACTATGCTTTTCCCATTTTTCTTGCTATTTTCTGAAGCAGTTCTGGAAGTCCTCTTTTGTGAATGTCTCTAGGTGCACTTTTATGCTTGCTTCTATGTCCTGAATCAATTCAAAACACATACCTTTATGATCATTTTGACTTTGGAGATGAGATAGAAGTCTCACAGAGCCAGATCTGGTGAAAGGGGGACAAAGACATGCTGTAATGTTTATGAGTCTATCTTTCCTTTGGATGGCATTGGGATGCAGCATGCACAGTATTTTTGATCACACCTCATAAAGAAAATCTTGAACAAGGACTTCCAGAACTGCTTCAGAAAATGGTTAATAATAATGGATAAGTACGTCTCAAGTGAGGGGGATGAGTAGCAATGTACCTTTGATTATAATAATTTTTTTTAAATTTATATACTCACCACATGGTGCAATCACCCCTTGTAGTTTCTGCATGGTTGGCTTCTCTGACCAGAGCCTCACTGAATGGAAATTAAGATCCTGGCCAGGGCAGCAGTTCTGATCAGGGATAGGGTGCTCTTCTAAGCTAAGTGATTATCTTCATTTCCTTGAAACTGTAGGACTGAGTCCCTCATTTTCCTGATGGCTGTTGTGTAACTCTGTGCCTACAGGCCACCCAGTTTCTTGTCAGATGGCCTTGGAAGGAAGTTAACAGCCTGGATGTTTGCTTGCTTCCAGGCTAGCTCAAGCACACCTAATTTACTCTTTGAAAATGACTGACAGAACTCTTGTGCTTCTAAGTGAGTCACCCAAATAGATCAGGCCCACCCACTATCATCTCCCTCTTGCCACATAATGTAACATAATTACAGCAGAAATATTTCTATTCCTACTGAAAGGGGAGGGAATTATGTAAGTGGAGATCACAGGGGTTATCCTAGAATCTGTTTATTTCAAGGCTCAATGAATATTTATAATGTCCAGTAAGATATGTTCCAGAAATTTGTAAATTATAGACACAACTGATGTAAGATTTGTTTTCCTCTTGTCACAATGGAGGGCTTAAGCTGTCTGGATGTGGATGTTGGATCCATAATGGTTGAGGGTACTGTACCTATTACACAGTGAGGTCACTGCAGGGGGCCCAGGGAATACTAGAGACTCAGGTCTGGGGGTAAGTGCGATGGCTGGGTAACTTTCGGCTAAGTCCTTGATACTCTGAATTTTAGATGATTGTAACATGAGGACAACGTCTAAGGTTGGCTAGCTCTAACATTCTGTAATTTCTAAGACTAAATTTGTCATATTGACAAAATTAAAACCTAGTGGCTCACAATATCTAGGTTCGTACAGATAGTTCATAAGTTTCATAATAAATGGAATTGCAGTGATGCATTTTTAGAAGAAAAAGGTGGTTTTGTTTTTAAATGAATTCATTCATATAATCAGCTCAATATAAATAGCACAAACTATATTTTTAATACTTTATATAGAATGGTAAAGAATATTGTATCTTTAGATGATATGTCTGTTCAATTATGATTGGAAGCAAATTTTCCCCAAGCTACTATAACTTGGTAAAACTGTCTTATAAAAATGTTGAATTAACTTAATTGGTGATAGCTATACAAATTTTAAGGCAGTACTCAATATTATAAATGAATTTCCCTGCATAAAGCATGTTGAGATTCTTATAAACATTTGGGGGGTTTAAATCTTTCTTTTGTCTTTCTGAAATGAAGCTTCTCTGGCTAGGATAATTCTTCTCTTCAACCCAACAAAAATGAACTCTAATTTTAAACAGGTATTATTAAATCCCACTGAAATAGGATTCATGCAGATGTATTTGTTAAAACACCCCTTTATTGACTGTGCACAGTTATTAACGATTTACATTTCACTTTGTCTACTGAGTGGAAGAGTACTTATTCTTTCATTAAAAAGCTAAACCCTTCAGGGAAGCAGCAGGAATTTGGAGAGCCTTTTCCTATAAACAGCACTGTCCAGTTCATGAGAGGTGCTTCCATATTAACACAAAAGAGAAAAATAAATAAAACAAAAGGGTTTTCCCCTCCCTCTGTCATCCTCCTCCCTTCCAAGACAATCTATTTTATAAAAGGCCCATAAATAAACAATTCCCACACAGTACTTCCATCAGTCAGAGGAGGAATGGCAACAGTGAGGGCTCTGTGAAACTGACAAAAGGAGTACCAGGCCATGATCATTTCCTCAGGCAGGTGCCTTATGGACACAGAGGGTGGAAAACCATGTAGGCATGAGTCAGCATCCAGCACCTTGCTGCTCGAGTTTCAGGAGCTGTTTTTCAAGTTTTGAGATGTTTACACGATGCATCATGAGAAACTGGCCATTCAAATGAAAGACAGGAATGTCAAATTGGTATCTCTCATACCAAGCAGAGTTTTCGGGAAGGGTGATGTCCACCTCCTGTAAAACAAACTGAAACACAGGCACGCTAAAGCTCCGTACTTTAGAGACCACAGAGCAACACAGCAACTGTGCTGATGAATTGATGCTCAAACTGTAATGCTGAGAGGTTTCTGATGTCATTTGTTTGCTTTAGGTCCACAATGTTCTAATGCCCTTGGTTTCTAAAACTTGACTGACTTCCTTACATGAGGTATTTTCTATCTCCTGCTCTTCCTACTTTTCTGTTATACCTGCTACTTTCAGCATCAGGACTCTTCCAGGTAACTGAAATAGACAGGTCCCAGCTAGGAAGCTGCCTGACAATCAGGACCAGAAGGTTTTGGCAGGAAGAATGGCAAAGGTGTGATGATTTACTACATGAAAACACTGCCATGGGAGTTACAAAATGAGATAAAAGGAATGGGACAAAAGTTTAAAGAAAGCATGTATCTGCACCTGCTAGTTAACTTTGACTCATATTAAGATCAGAGAAGGAAAATCAGTACTGTTATGGAAAAAACACTTAAGGATAATGAGTTTTATGGAAATCAGCACTAAACTCTCTCTGAAGAATAGAAAGAAAATTTAAATGAAAAATCATTTAATCTCTTTTCCTAAAGAAAGGAGCCAAGCAGATACTTTATATCACATGTCATATCCAGTCCACATACATAAAAGCCACACTGTCATATATTACCCTGTTTTTATAAGGCTTGAGTAGTTCTTTAGCATCATCACACAGGGGGCATGGATCCTACATGAAGAAAGAAAACCAGGTTGTTAAATCCAAAGAACAGTTTTTCGCCTAACAAAAGCAAAACAAAACATGAAGCAGATTGTCCTTACTTAAAAGGACAGTTTTCCATCAGGTTAATTACAGTTCTTTATTCCCAATTCAAAACATTACCATAGAATCTTCTTAATAGCTAGAATTTCAAGGCAGATGGGATCTGCCCTTTTTGGTTGTTTTGATGTTTAACCAAATTTATATATGTGCAATACATTCAGGTACTTTGTCACTGGTCTGGCTATCTAAGGCTTTGTCCTTTCCGAGTCAGGAGTACCTCCGTGGCCTTACACTTGGCCGGACTGACACTGCTAGTCTGTTGCAGCCACTTATATTTTATTTGGAGTGGGAAGTACCACTGACCTTTACCCTATTTTTCCTAATTAGTCTGCAGGAACAAACCCATTAGCATAGTGTTAGAGAGTGTCTCATCTTTAAAAGGAGAAAAAAAAATCTCTTCAGATTACAACTGTACCAATTTATAATACTTTGCTTGTTTTTATTATTTATTACAAATGTCAAGTAAATGTATCCTGGACTAACGTTCTACTTAAAGAACAGGGACAGTTTAGTGCCCACTGTTGTTCACATTCTTAAAACACTTTGTGGAGAGGTCTGTTGAGAATACTGTGGATTTGTGGCAGAATGTAAAGGATTCTCAGTCTTTAAGTCTAAGAAAAGGGACTAGTACTTACATGAGCTAAAAATAACATTACTGATTCCTATATAAAACCTGGCTTTTAACATATCAGGAAGAGATGAACTATTATGTAACAGAGAAGCCCTTCTTCTAGCTTAACTCATTGCATGTTTTGAAATGAGGAACGAAATCTTTCTGAACCTCTTTGGACCTGATTTCCTGTGACAGAGAATTAGGCTCATCAATTTGTTGTTACTGGTAGGATTAGCAAAATCATTATGTTTCTTTGTGATACTTTAAGAATTTAAAAGATAATTTTAAGGTTATTTATAATATTTGAAGAAAACCATGTGGAAATTTTCTAAGAAAGTGTCAAAACTAAACATAGGATTTTAAAAGTAAAAGCAAGACAAGAACATGCTAAATTGCAGAAGCACCAAATGTACCACTTTTTGCTTTTATATTAAAACTTGAGAAGAGCCTAGATCTAGGTGTATTGTTTTTGAACCAGTGTCTATAGAAGCCTACAATTACACAACCAAATATGGGCATATGTTTCTAGAAGGATAGCTTCATTACATTCTAAAAAGCAACTAAGAAACCCAAACAGAGTAAAATTCTGTGGCACGGACCATTCAAACATCCTTCTCTAGAATTTCCCTTGGGATGTGTTGTTTACCCTGCACCTGAATTGTTATGGACATTTGTTGGGCTGGCTGTTCAGCATCCACTCCCCTTTCTTGCACAAGTTTCATTTCATTCCACAGCACTATTCTCAGCATGTGACAAATTCCTTCTCTGAGCAACAAACACCTCACCTAGGCTCAAGCAATCAGAACAACCTGCCCCTCATGCCCACAGTGAGCTCAGGGCTGAGCTAATCAGAGCCAATGGGCAACCACGAGACTTTTGCGGGATGTCTGTATATGTCTGAGGGGAAGAGATCTAGGGCTTAGGGTTACTGCAGTGATGGTGGATTTAACCAAGATTAGTTCCTGAGTCATGCTATTTCTTTATTAATTTTATTTCTTTATTTTTGTAGTACTGGGGATCAAACTCGGGATCTTGGGCTTGCCAGGCAAGTGCTTGTTCCACTGAGCAATATCCCCAGCCCATACTATTCCTGAAATAAGAAAAACTCATGAAGGGGCCTGCCCATTAGCTCAGTTGTTTAAGTGCCTGCTTAAACAAAGGCAGTCAGACTCAAGATACTGTGGTTCAATCCCCAGATCCTCAGGCCTTACCAGACCTGCCCTTAAGGCAGGCTGAGCTAGCCCCACCCCCCGGGGGAAAAAAAAAAAAAAAAAGCCTTCAGAAAAACTGATGAAATCTTTTTATTTAAGTCACTCTATACGACTGGGCGTGGTGGCTCACGCCTGTAATCCCAGCTCTTGGGAGGCTGTAAACAGGTGGATCACTATGAGTCCGCTCTAGTAGTGAGACCCTGAACACCCTGTAGACCCTTCCCTAGAATACAAAAAAAAAAAAAAGAAAGAAAAGAAAAAGAAAAAAACCAAGTCACTCTATAAAGTTCACTCTAATACTCATAGCCAACAGAGACCTAATTCTCTAAGTATTTCTTTCACGGGGCTGTGAGTTCTCGAGGTGGCAGTGGTATCTTCTCATGTGCCTCATGTGTTCGGTACATATATAAAACCTGAATGGAAGGCTGGGGTTTTGTTTTACTTTCATAAATTTTTCTGACTATCTCAGCTGGTATCCAAACTGAAAAACAGTGCAGAAAGTAGGCCAAAGGAGAACAACTAGCTTTATGAGATTATTTCATCCTTATTGTTCTCATATGCATTTCCTATCATAGATTCTCAGGTGAAGAAATATTTTGGGTTCTGTAATTCCCAACAGTGCAACATATATGCATAGATATGAAAAATAGTTTAGATTAAATATTTAAAGAAACTCATTTTAAAAACTACATGAACTTTGTTATTAGATAACTGTCAAAGGTTTTCAAACTGCTAAAATATCTATAAACCTGGAAGCTCTGTTAAAGAGACCTTTTTAAAAATAATTTATATTTCTTTTTATCATAAATTACACATAATGGTGTGAACTAGCAAAAAGAAACTACTAATATTTATACTATGAATTGCAAGGGGAAAAAAGCTCTGAAAATTTTTCTTAAAAACTAGCCTTGTAGCTTAAATGTAGGACAGTGAATCCCCATTATACATGGGTTCTGCATTTGTCGATTTGCCTACTTGTTAAAACTTATTTGTAACCCTCAAATTAATACTTGAAGCACTTTTGTGGTCATTCATGAGCCAGATGCACAGTGATGAAAAAAGAGCCCATGGAAGCACTCATTCTAAACTGAGGTCCAACAAGGTATGCTTTGCTTTCTTGTTTCAGCTCTCATACTGCATATATAAGTCAGTATCTCCTTCATGTTTTTCATGTTTGTCCTTTTTTGTTGGTAATTTTACAAAACAGCCACCAAGCTTACTGTTGAAATGCTGTCCAGTGTTCTAAAGCATAAGCAGGATGTAACCTGCCTTGTGGAGAAAATATGCGTGTTAAGTGTCATTTAGGCATGGGTTAGTACTGCTGTTGACTGTGCATAAAATGTTAATGAATCAACAGTATACATTAAATAAGGTACTTTTAAACAACAACTCACATAAAATAAAGCTCTGTATTGGATTAGTTGAGATTTCTCAAGAACATTAGTTGACAAAAATACTAGAACTACAGGGTCACAAAGGCCCAGTACATTTCATAAGAGCAATGGTCATTATTTGCTAATTCAGTGTTCATGATTCTTTTATTTTTTTATTTTTATTTATTTTTTTCATGATTCTTTTATAGAATGGTTCAGTGGTTGTCAATTCAGTTCATAACTATGTTTATAACATACCACAAATAACTATAAATAGCAAGGACTAACATTTCCAAATTATATACTTCTAAAGATATTATAGCGCATAGTTGTTTTTAATGTCAGGGTCAGATGAGCATTAAATGTACAAATTTATCTTTTGAGTACTGTGAGACAAGGAGGTGTCAGGGAAGGAGATAGTTATTTTTGCTGTGCTGATGAAGAAATGGAGCAGGTCTAAACACTGTTTCATTACCTTTCCTTTTAGAGTCATACTGCTCTTGTCTATCTATGTACAACTTTCTTTACTCAATAATTTTAATATTTTGCATTTCTAAGTAGTAATTTGACTTTTTCACCTTGTACCTTTGTGAATAGGGTCAACACAGGCAGAGATGTCTTAGAGGCAGAGAGATTTCTCAAGAAAAGTCCAAAGGATCTGGCAACTTGCATGCTATTTCCTTGAAACCAGAGCATCTTAGTTCTGCCAAAAGAAAAATAAAGCAGTAAACTTACCACTTTAGTTTTTGTTCTTTACAATACAAACAATAAGGTGCAATACTACAAGTGCAATTAGAAGACTTCAAAACTGCTTCTCAGAGTCCAGAGTGTTAGAGAGGCAAGTCCACATAATGCCTCAACATTCATGGTACCCAACACAAAACAGAATTTGAATGGGAAAAATCCATATTTAGGGATTAGCTGTGTACCTAATCACTTGGATTCTGTAATTAAACTACATGGGTTTATTAACATGAAAACTGTCTTAGTTACCATTCTCATTGCTGAGACAAAATACCCAATACCAAAGTTAAAGGAGGACATTTTTATTTGGCTCACAGTTCATAGAGGTTTCAGCCCACAGTTGGCTGGCTCCAAGGCAGGGTGGCATCACAGAGGGGCATCACAGGAGAAACAGTTCATGGCAGGCAGAAAGTAGCAAAGCAGGCACAGAAGGACTACAGCTCTTTCTATCCCTTTTATCTTATTCAGCCTACCTGTAGGGAGTGGCACTCACAGCTTTGATCCTGTGCCCTTGATCCTAGCACTGGACCATGAAGCAATCCCATTGCCACACATTATACAACCAGACAAAGCTGAAAAAGCCCCAGCTATGACTGCATGAGGATTGGGGGAACATCTAGACCTAAGCCACAACAAAAACTACATTTCTTCTGCAGCGTCCTGATGATGGCAAAAGTGGAGGCATATCTCACTGGCAAACACTCAAAAACATCCAGACACTGTCATCACAGTAAATAAAAGTAAATGGTATAAGTCCCCAACTGAATGTATATGTTATCTCTTATGAGATCTACTACTCTTTTATTGTAAGAGATGGGAAAATATAAAGCTATAGTTAGGGGAAATATAGTGGTGAATTGGGTTAACTTGTCAGAAATAAAACCTCCGCTCAATTCCTAACATAGGATTTTGAAAGGAAACTGCCATAATTTTCAAAAACTTCATACACAAATGTACTAGTGTTTCTACTGGAGAGATTTTGGTGAGAACAGCTTAATAGTAGCATGTCAAACATGAGGCTTTGAAGCTCTCTTATCCTGCTACCTTGCTTGACACAAGACACCCTATTATTCTTAGCTATTCTTCTGAGCCTTTAGTTTTGCCTTTAAAGCTACAAATATTATAACTTCATTTTTCAAACTCATGTGCACTGTTGGCTTTATCATTTATCAATATTCCTACAATGAATGCATTCCTGGGATCATGATTGCTTCACTTTGCTTTACTCACTCTCTCAAACTTCATTTATCACTTTTCTCTCCCTTACCTTGGCAAATTTCAGCAGCAGAATATTCTCTCTAGTCTGCGAATTCCCAGAAATCATTTGTTCATCAGAGTCTTCATTTCCTTTCCCTTTGCCTGAAAAGCACGGAAGTAGTTTCTCCCATTTGGCCTGGATTTCATGGCACTTCCTTTGAAGAGGTTTTAGTGACTGCATAAGCATGCCGACCAGCTTGCAGTTCTCTATCTTTAGGTTTTGTTACAGTTTTCTCTTGCCCTTTACTATCTAACATTATTATGTTCCCGTACTATAATATAAATTCTGTAACAGCAAGTATGTGTTCATTCCTATATCTCTAAGTACTCACAATTAACCTGGCATATTACAAGAGCTTCAATATTTATTTGAATGATAAAAATACTGCAGTGAGACTTTTCTACCCTCTGCAATTTTACCTCTATCCCTGTTCAATTACTCAGTATGTAGATAAGTCACTATTTAGACTAGTAACTAAGGGGTAGTTAGTTATAAGGGGACACTCCTTAGGGTGGCCACAAAATTTTGGGCTGGAGTACTGCAGCTAGTTCTAACCTCTTTGCTGCCACCTTGCTGAATCTCCCCCTGCTCTGCTCCACAGAGCATGACCACAGTAACTAACTGTTAATCTTCGCTGGCAACCAAGCTCCTCAGCGCAAGATCAGCTTTAAACTCATTTCAAACAAAATGATTTGACTTTAGAGAAAACCACCCACTCATATCAAACTATAGTAGGAACCACAGGACAAAAAGATCAGATATTGGTCCAGTCGACATAGCTCAGCAGACTAAGTGCCTGCTTAGGCAAGTGCAGGAACTGCATTTTGATCCCTGGTACCACATGCTGTGCTGGCCTTACCCCAGGCACACTGAGCCGGATATCCACTCTGGGTGTAGTGGCACATGCCTATGAGCCCAGTGCTGGGAAGGCTGGAAATAGGAGGATCACTATGAGTCTGTGCTGTGAAGTGAGACCCTGTACCAAATACATTTAAAAAAGAAAAAAGATCAGATACTGAGCATGAAAATACTGATCTTTCCTTCATTTTCAACCTCTTCTCTTCCACTTTTACTCAGTTAACCCTATTAACTAAATGATCTTGATAATGCATAAAAAAGGAATGTGGTAAGAATTTTGCAATGGTCTGTTATTCACAGTCATTCCAAGGTAGGGAATGACCTAAACAATTTCATAACATTCTGTGCTAGTCTCTATTAAGTGTCAAGCCCTGGTATTGACACTTGATATATCCCTGGTATATTTTCTGTAAAGTTAACAGAATCAAAAAGGCTCTAAAAGGTGAACATAGTGAGAGACACAGCTTCTAAACATGGTTTTGTTTAAATAACAGAAAGAGGAAGGTGGTTGTGGTAGGGAGAATATTAACCATATTTATGGTATATAGAAATTTAAGTACCACCAGTGACATACTATCCACTGGTCAGAGAAGTTGTGCTATACATGAAAAAAAAGCACTAAAATTAGTTTTATTAAGTGCAGAAATGCAGCCTTTAGAAATGAGAATGATCAGGTCATCTATGGCAGCAACCTGAAACTATAGCAAGGGGGTGAACTACAGCTACATTCTTTTAGTGGAGAGACTGACGATTTATTGATGTCTGGCTGATAATTAAAACAAAACTTGTTGCTTTTACTTAGCTAAGTTGAGACTGAGGTGTTAAGACTTTTAAAAAAATTCACATGCACAAGGGAAATCTGCTTCAGCATTTGCAACACGACAAAAACAGCATGTGGTCTTGGTTGCATCCAAGACAAATAAAACCTGTCGTAGTAAACAGAGTTGCTATTCATTCCAGATTTGCTAGAATATCTGCTCAACCAACTCAGAGCTAAGTAACTTCTTCAGTGATGCTACGACCATTCTACTTACAACTTGTTCTCTTCATGACTGTTACTCTACATTTCTACTTTTTTAAACATTTTTCAATCACTTAAGTACAGAATGTCTACTGAGAAATGTGTAAAAGGGACAGGGAAGAGGAAGGGAATCGGAGCAGAAGGGGTCTTGGGAGGGCAGAAATAATCATTGTTTATATGCACATACAATGCCAAAATGAAACTCATTATTCTATGTACGTAATATGCACTAATAAAAAGATTAAAATAAAACCAATTACCACCATTTGATGAAGTACAAAAAATTCTTGTTATGTTATTTTATAACCTGCATATTTTTCAAATGCCCTAAGGTACATGCATATTACCATATTGTTCAATTAACTTATTTCTTTGCAAGTATTATAAAATTATATTAGAGTTTGACATAAAGAAAAAGCTCCCTATCTCTCTCCTGCACAGATATTAAGGTTAAAATTCCATAATTCTTATATTCCCACTTAATGCTAGAAAATGAAATGAAAAACGATACACTCCAATGGGAGCTCTCTAATATTCTCCTTAGAACATTTTATTAACTCTGTAAACTCTAATATCATTGCTGTCAATGTCACATTCACCAAATCATGCTTTTTGAAGTAAAATCTTAATGTGGGCTACTCTATCAACATGACATTTTCATTAGTTTGTTTATTTTTGAACAGTACCTTAGCACTACAAAAAAACAAAACAAAACTTGAAAAGCAGTCTTTGCTTGTTAGCTTAGCACCGTAAGAAAACCACACATTTTTTTTTATTATGTCGCTGAGTTTAGTCATGAAATATGTCCATACTACACACAGACACAATTTTATCCTTTGTATTTTGTTATACGCCACTCTGATATAACCAGAAAAAACCTGTGTTCATAATATCAAAGAAGCAAACTGGGTCACCTTTGTCACAGTCTTTAAAAAAAAAAAAAAAAAAAAAAGAAAAGAAAGAAAGAAGAGCAAGAGGCATAAGAAAAACCATAAGCCTGGATTTGGAATATACTTAAACAAATTCCACAGACTAACAATAAAGATGGTAAGTCCTGCTGTTTCAAGTCCTGGGCCACTCAGAAGCATGGATCCCCCTAAAAGAGAAGGTGAATGCTGGCCTTTCTACACAACTGAAGCTGACTTCAGTGGTTTTTATGGGAGAATCAAATACAACATGAAGGGAGGACAGATTGGACCAATTCAGTCCTCCTTGAAGCAAGACAGGGATGATAACTTAACTTTATAGCATTTTCCCTGCTAAGCACTGAAGGGCATACCATTAAAGCAGCCGATTACAGTACAGAAAGAAGTCAGGGTCGTTTGAACCTTTATTAAGGATTATTCATTTCTTGCATGAGGAGCTGCCCTACCTATGCTACATGTCATTTATGTGGGGCTTGTAGATTTTTCAAACACTGTGTGTACCTGATTAAGAGAGAAACAACATTGTTCTCATCTGAGCAGAAAAACTGACCTTAACTGACCAGAATTCTATTCACACAGTCATTTGGCACACCAAAGCTCTAAGCTCACACATTCCTTCATCAGCAAGCTGCAGTGGTAGCTCATGTGCAAAATCAAAAAGTCTATATAAGCACAGGTACCACCTTGGTTATTAACAGATAATGTCAGAGCTTCTTCATAAGAGTACAATATAAATTTAATGTTGAGCTGACATTAACCAAACACTATTACCACAGCTCTTGCTGAACCTGTGTTCCATAGAGAGCTCAGGGCTTCCGTTTAGTCATTTGTGCCATGTAAGAGGTTAAGTGCTCCATTTCACATTCATTACCACCTAAGCATGATGTTTCTGCTTTTATCGGGATGAACTGAAACAGAAACACACACACACACACACACACACACACACACACCCCTACCTCTTATGGAAAGAATCCTATTATTATAAATTACTGAAAGCTTATGTAAGTCCTTTGGGTCACTGTAGTCCATACAATTCAAGGAAACACAGGAGGGAGAAATTGTGCCCCACAGTGATTCTCTGCTTTTAATCAAACAGGTATGTCTGACTTTCCCTCCCTCCTAAACAAATGAGAACCTAGCCTGAGATCTTGGGTACAAGGGCAAGACAGAGAAAGACTGGCCCTTGTGGAACCATGTGTTACAAGAAAAGGTACCACACAAGGATGAAGCCAAAACTGAAAATTGAAAAGATACTTTGAGATGTTGATTCCAAGAGGCTAATCAGAGTAGGAACAAAGCTAAAGAACAGAAACAGCAAACAGGGCAGTATAAGGCCCAACCTGGAGGGAGGCCCTAACTCACTGGTACAGCCAGGATCACAGGTACTTTTCTAGAGTCTCAGCCCCAGAAGCCCAGGTATGTAGCAGGGGAAACTGGTAAGAAGGTGGCATCAAGGTATTGTAACAAAGATCTTGAGCTAACCATCTATTTGTACACAGCATCCTGTTTAGCTTTGTTCTGACCAGTAGACTTTTGATTTGCTTGTACACAGCACATGAAATCATGAGTAGTTGGTCTATATTATACCCAACCCTGGGGAGCAAAGAGCAGCTCTTTATGTCAAAATGCCTCTCTGCAGTTTCCAGAGTCAGTGTCAACAGGCTCTCTATACAGGGCACCACAGAAGCTGATAGAGAATCATGTTTAGAAAACACTGACTGGTCAGATGAGTGTTCACTGACAAAAATTCCTTAAATTTCCTTCGAATTATTATTATAGCCATGGAATTTCCAAGTACTTTGACACTTCTATTCCACTATTTGGACTAATAGATGCTACATTCATTCACATTCACACACATTTAATTTGAACTTTGTGAAAATTTTGAAGCATGAACTTTACCAATAAGATTACAATTTCTCTAAAAGTATATGCCATTTATATATCCACCATTTAATATATGCACACCAATTTTAGCTTCTTCTAAGTAAAGTCAAACTGTCAGATTTTGCTATTATCCTACTTTGTGGTTAGTTCATTTTTTCGCTTACAAATATGTAAAGTATATGGAGTCACCAATTTCATACACTAGGCACATGCAGAAAAAAACGTTACATTTAGTTTAGTGGATTCAGGAAAAGATTGGTAAATTTTTACCTAAAATAATGATAGAAGTGTTTTTTTTTTTTTTTTTTTTTTTGCTCCGAATGCCTTCAAGGCATGACTGGCTGGCTTGAGTTGTGGGGATCGTAAAATAATGAAAGTTATATAGACCTCACAGTCATTGGTAAGC